GCATGCTCACTCGGTGTTAGAATGACGCCCACGTACGGGCCCCCCAGCCTAGCGCAGTGCGCACCGTATGCGATATGTGTGCAGCATCGTGTCTCTCTCACAACAATTGTGTGGGGGGTATGACTCTTGCACCAACGGAGTGTGTGTAGTATCATGGGGGCGGGGTGACAGTAGAACACCAACCCTCGTATGGATTGCTGGCGGAAGCACTGCCCTGTGGGGCACCATTAAGAGGGGTGGGCGTTCTTAGTGGTAGGGGGCTCTTGGGGGAAGGGGAGAGGGGGGGGGGGGGGGATCCCTGTGAAGGCATCGATCGTCATGGAGCGCCGTGAGCCGTCCTTGTGGGGAGTGACTGCAGATTAGCGGGAGCACTGCCCTGTGGGGCACCATTATGATAGGGGTGGGCATTCTTAGTGGTAGGGGCTCCAGAGGGCGGGGAGAGGAGCAATTCCCTGTGTGAAGGCATCGTCGTGGAGCGCTGTGAGCCCCTCCTTGTGGGGAGCGACTGCAGATTAGGGGTCTGTTCTACCTTGAGTCGTGTGCGGCAAGGTAAGGTGGGGTGTTCAGATGGGTTCCACTTGGAGGACCCTGGGGACCCCATGGAGGAGGGTGTTGATGCTCCACAGGGGGCAGCAGGAGCACACAGGCAGGATTTTTCCTATCTCTCCGTCGGAGGCGGCAGGGTAGGGATAATAAGGGCCTTAGAGGGCTTGGTGGTCCTTAGGGGAGCGTCGCCCTATGACGGCATCGTCATAGTAGGCGGTGAGCGTCCTCGTAGGGAGCGCGGCCAGTTTAGGGGTGTAATAAGCCTTTGTTCCCCTAGGGTGGTAGTGTAGTCTAACGAGAGTTAGAGAGGGGAGAGAGAGGGGGTTCCACTTGGTGGGTAAGTAGGGGCCGGGCGCAGTTGGGCGTAGATGATTGAACCTGTGGATTTAGCACCTGCTGATCGAACCCCTGGATTAAAGCTCATTAAACACCCTTCTCTCTCTTTGTTTTCTTGTTTTTAACTTCTTATTAATTAATTACCCTTACAAATCGAACTTGCACTCTGTTTTAGGAGGCGAAAACGCCGAAAAGCGCTGAAAAGTTGTGACGACTGCATACGGTTTTTCTTGTACCTGATGTTTTGGTACATGCCACAAACTGGCACAACATTATGATGGTGGCAATTCCACTTCCGAATCAAATGGCTTGTAGTTGTATCTGGATTCGAACCTGAGTCTGTATTTCAACAGCTCATCGGTGTACCGACTGAGCTAGGCCGGTTGGTTACATATCGAATTGCTAATTAGTAATATTTAGTTTTTTTTTTTTCATTGTCTTTCTCCTCCTGGTAGTGGAATGGCATTTTCACTTTTCTTCTCCAAGTGGAGTTGCACACACTATTACATGGCAACAACACTTGTTCCAGATCGAAGAAGAGCAATGTAATTATGATGAGAACGTCAACGATATCGAAGAAAAGGGAAAAGAAGAGAGGGAGGGGGGGGCGGGGGGGATGGAGGGGAAGAGAAGAAGAGACTAGTAGTAGTGGTTACAGACGAAAGGGGATAAAGGTGTACGAGGAGGAGGAGGAGGAGGAGGAGGAGGAGGAGGAGGAGGAGGAGGAAACATAGGTGAAGATGACGAGGGGGAACAAAGGAGTATGAGTAATGGTAGGAAGAGGAGGGAGGAGGAGGTGGAAGAGTGGAGAGGAGGAGGGAAGAGGAGGGAGGAGAAGGAAGAGGAGCAGAAGCAGGAAGAAGCAGCAGGAAAGAAGAAGAAAGGAGTAGGAGAAGGGTGGCAGGAGGAGGAGGAGGAGGGGGAGGGAGTAGACGGACGAGGAGCAGAAGCTGGAAGAAGCAGCAGGAAACTAGAAGAAAGGAGTAGGAGAAGGGTGGCAGGAGGAGAAGGAGGAGGGGAGGAGGAGAAGAGGGGACCAGGAGGGAAGAAGGAAGAGGCAAGGAGGAGGGGAGGACGAGAAAACAGTCATACTCTGGGTTTATGGGTGCAAGTTGATGCAAAACCGGTTTAAACCACAAACGTGAGAGTCACGTGCGCGCGCGCGCGCGCGCGCGCGCGCGCGCGCGAGAGAGAGAGAGAGAGAGAGAGAGAGTTGGTGACGTCGTTTTGAATACATAATGATTACTGGAGACTTGTGTGCAGAGAATGGACAGAAGACGGGCAGTTATGGGTGCAATATGTCTCAAGCACCCCAGCTACACGGCTGGATGTCATCAATTTGCAGGTATGTGTTTAAGGCTGAATCAATCACATTACTGTCGAGCTATGAATTATCTATTTGCATGTCAAGTTCCTCCTTCTCGTTCCTGTGACCACACCCTGCATACTGCCAACGGTCCAACCTCCTCCTGACGAGAAAATGGCTAGCAGTGGGATGAAGCTGTCTGTCAGAGCCTGCAGAGTGCAGTTCTTGTCCTTTCCCGACTTTCTGCGCACAGTTCACCGGAAAGTTGCGGAAACCTCTCTGTGAAATTATATGTATATGTATATGTATATGTATATGTATATGTATATGTATATATATCATCAAACAGAGCTGCCGACGGTAAACCGTAGGCAGAGAGGGAGAAGAGGAGAAGAGGACAACAAACGAGGGGCTGTGGCAAACTGTTTCATCGGAGTTTCACCGACACATCAGGAGGCTGAACCCTCATATATATGTATGTAGTATGTACATATAACCTGCAGTCTGTAGAGTTTTCCATCTCTTGAGGGTGAGCGATAGTCTGCTTTGATCTGTTTTGACGATACATATGTATAATGTATGTATGTACTATGTATGTATATATGTATGTATGTATGTATGTATGTATGTATGGATGGATGGATGCATGGATGCATGCATGCATGTATGTATGTATGTATGTATCGTGGGGGTTTAGGGTGTGAACCTGCAGTCTGTAGAGTTTTCCGTCTGGTGTGGGTGAGTGATAGTGTGCTTTGATTTTTCGTCACGGTTACCCACCCCTGAGGGCTGTGGTTGGTGGTCCCCACCACCTCAGAGGGGTATCAGTTGTCGTGCAGTCATTGATGCTTAACCGCAACCGGGGTTAAGGTGGATTATCACTTATGGTATCACTCAGTTAGGGGACTCTGCAGACTGTAGAGGGTGGGTTCAGCCTCCTGGTGAGTCGGTGGAACGCCGACAAAATAGTCTGTCACAGCCTGAGGGCTGTGGTTGTGGTCCCCACCATTTCTTTTTCTTTTCTCCCTTTCTGTCTGCGATTCCCCGGGCGGTTCTCTATGACGGGTCACGACGTATACATCGTCATAGAGAACTGCCCATTAAACCGTAGGCAGCAAGGGAGAAAAGGACACGAAACGGGGGCGTGGCAGACTCTTTCGTTGGAGTTTCACCCCCCGACTCCTCATGAGGCTTGTTTTTTGTGCTAGGTTACTACGTGCCAGGCTAGCCCGGTAGGGCGACCGTGCAAGCCGCCCGGCCATCTAGCCAAGCATGTGTAGGAGGGGCACAACACTCGTGCACAAGCGCATCGGAAAAAATAACCCTTAGGGACTGTATGTATCGAAGTGTATTCCCAATTACTATTAGAATTTTGTAACCATGGTTAATAATTTTTTATTTTTTTTTCATGGTTAATAATTTAGCATCTTCTTGTAATAATAATGTAATAAATTAGTAATAATTTACTAGAAAAGTAATAACTAATATTTAATAAAATTAAATAAATTATTTATGTATATTCATGTAGTGGGGAGGGGAGAAGAATGGACTGGCACGGAGATCCAGGCACATGAGAACACGCATGTCATAAATAATTAATATTTAAATTAATTTTTTATTATTATTATTTTTTCCCCAAATGTCTAGTTACATTTCCGAGAGAGAGGTGCTCTGGCCATTGCGAAGTCCCTTTTTTGGACCCTTGTGGGTAATTTTGTACTAATTCCTCAACATTAGAGTGAATATAAAATGAAAAAAAAAGAAAAAAGTTTATACTTGAAGAGCAGAAAAGGACAAGGAAGAAGCACTTGACGTCACTGATAAAGAATTGAGTTGTGAGCCTCAGGGGCAAGGTCTCGCCAGTAAAGAGGATTGGGTTAAGCACCTGAATCTGGATGGGTTTTAGGCAGAGATGCAGTAAAGCCGATCAATTGCAGCTTTCTGAACCTCTCCACAAACACATCCAGATTCAGGCGTTCAATCCAATCCTCTCTGCTAGTGGGACCTCGCCTGTGGCATGCACAGTCCCCACGCTGGCCCCTGCAGTGTCCAGCAGTATGACTACTGGTAGGGGGGGTCTTAGGGGCTAGTCTAGGGCGGTTACCGTTTCAGTCCTGGGGCTGGGTTAGGGACCCACGCTGTTAAGGGTCCGCTTTAGGGCCTGGTTACGCAGCAGTTATCAGGCAGCGCCAGGTTTTGAGTTTAGGCGCCAGTCTGCAGTTGGGACACATTTCTCATTTCATTTTCGTTTTGGCGCCAGGCCTTGTTACGCACCAGTTATCAGGCAGCGAGAGGCCAGACTTCGGGCAGACCAGCATTATACATAGCTGGCCCTCCCCCAGTCCAGTAGGTAGTTGGTAGTAGTTATCAGAGGTAGTTCTGAGACAGTAGCGAGTAGTGTTCAGTAGTTGACGTGCTGGGCGCAGTTGGAGTAGTCTACAGCGCTGGGCGCGAGCTAGGAGCTGGAGCGCTGCCGCTGCACTGCAGCGAGAGAGAAGGAGAGAGAGAGAGAGAGAGAGAGAGAGAGAGAG